TACCCTAAGAATGCAGCAGCCCAGTTTGAAAAAGACATATGCACCCCTATGTTTATCGCAGCACTATTTACAATAGCTAAGAAATGGAAGCAACCTAAATATCCATCAGTAGATGAATGGATAAAGAAGATGTGGTACATATACACAATGGAATATTATTCAGCCATAAGAAGAAAACAAATCCTACCATTTGCAACAACATGGATGGAGCTAGAGGGTATTATGCTCAGTGAAATAAATCAGGTGGAGAAAGATAAGTACCAAATGATTTCACTCATATGTGGAGTGTAAGAACAAAGAAAAAGTGAAGGAACAAAACAGCAGCAGAATCACAGAGCCCAAGAATGGACTAACAGTTACCCAAGGGAAAGGGACTGGGGAAGATGGGTGGGAAGGGAAGAATAAGGTGGGGGAAAGAAAGGGGACATTATTATTAGCATGTATAATGTGTGTGGGGCACAGGGATGGCTGTGCAACACAAAGAAGACAAGTAGTGATTCTACAGCATCTTAGTATGCTGATGGACAGTGACTGTAATGGGGTTTGTGGGGGGGACTTGGTGAAGGGGTGAGTCTAGTAACCATAATGTTCTTCATGTAATTGTAGATTAATGATAATAAAATGAATTTTAAAAATCTAAAGGGAAGATGATAAAACAAAAAACAAACAAAAACAAAACAAAATATGACCAACCTGACCAGACACTTTTAGATCACCAGCATTTTACCTACTTGCTTTAAAAGACTCGTACCTTATTTTCATATTCCCACAGCTGATAAAGTTTCAGATAATTCTTAACCTGAGTCTATCATCCATAACCCTAACCTTATGAAGAAAAGAGTACCGCCTTTCTCTCTGCCAACCCAGCTTCCTCTATTCTGAATTACTTATACTGCTCCCAGAATACACTGTGTTTCCTTAGACGTTAGCATCCATGCACATCCTATTTCTTCTGCCTAGAATGTTCTAGCCTGGATTGTCTGAATGCCAAATTCCCAACTACCTTTAAAACCTTCACTGAAGCAGAGCTCCCTTGATGCCAGTCACCACTTAGGTACAGCTCATCACCCTCCTGTGTGTCACCCTCGTGCCTATCTGCCCTGGTTTCTGCTTCATCGCATCATTAAATGTCTAGTCTCTCCTGCTGGACTGTGAACCTCTTAATAGCAATGCTAGAGCCAGGGATAATTTTTTTAACTATAGCCTCAGTACTAACAGGGTAAAAAATATGGTAGATGCTTACTGCTTATTGCTTAATAGAATAAAAAAAATGAGGTCCCAATAGATTGTCGGGCTAAAGCCCACTACATCTGACGATTAATCACATCCCATAGGCCTCGCACATACTAAGTTCTTTGTAAATGTTTCTGGGATAAAGGGATTAAATGAGTGAATGTGCTTTGAAACCAGCGATTTTCTTGTTCATTTCCAGTTTCTCTGTGATCAGTACTTTCTCCAATGAAAAAATTAGCTTTCTTCCACAAGACTCCATTCTGAGTTTCCCGAAGTTTCTCTCTTTAATCCTGCCACATCCTGCCTACCTGTTATTGAATCTGGATTTTATAAGCATACAGAACAGATGGATTTTGTTACAACAGGCAAGAATCAAAGAACAGACTCTTCCTAACTGATTGGAGTCCCCTGAGGAGGTTACTTCTTAACATCAGTACAACTCTGGTCAGGTTATGAGTTGTGCAGATTAAATATGATAACATAAAGGGTTTTATAAAGAGGTAAATGTACAATAAAATTAATAATGATGCATCAAAGTAATAAAGTTTGAGGGTAATAACTCCTAGGATTTAC